CGAAGAACGAAAAACGAAAAACGAAAAATGAAAACGACGAACGACGAACGACGAGCGACGAGCGACGAGCGACGAACGACGAGCGACGAGCGACGAACGACGAACGACGTACGACGAACGACGAACGACGAACGAAAAACGACGAACGAAAAACGAACGAAAAACGAAGAACGAAGAACGAAAAACGAAAAACGAAAACGACGAACGAAGAACGACGAACGACGTGCGACGAGCGATGAGCGACGAGCGACGAGCGACGAACGACGAAAGACGAAAGACGAACGAAGAACGAAGAACGAAGAACGAAAAACGAAAAACGAAATACGAAAAACGAAAAGCGAAGAACGAAGATCGGAAAACGAAGAACGAAGAACGGAAAACGAAGAACGGAAAACGGAAAACGAAAGCGTTAATTTTTTCGTTTTCGATTTTCGGGTTTGGGTTTTTTGTTTTTGATGTTTGATTTTTGAAATAAGCTTTAGCACGGTCTTTGCCTCTGAGGCGTGACTTTGAAAAGGAATTGTCGGTGGACGTGAGGTAACTTCAAATGCTTGAATGCAAGAGAAACTCGGCGAAAATGTTGGCCGTTGGAAATGGAGGAAGAGCACGGGATTGCGGACGGGGAATGCGGGTGGATTTGTGGAGGATGTTGTGGCCAGGGTCGGACGATGCGTGCCTCAACTGCCGAAGTAGTGGGCGCGAAGGAGGGTGGGCGGGGGCGAGCAGGATGGGTGGCCGAGGAAAGCGGAGGCGGTAGTCAACAGGACGAACGACGACATAACAGGATAGAGGAAGAATGAATTGCCGCGGTGGCGAAGTGCAGTTCCGAGCCGTGTGCTCATTTTCCTCGAAACTTGGGTTGCACACGGACCGGACGACGAGGACCACTCGGGCAGTAAAGACAGGCAGAAAGGAACGCGGGCAATCGGTTGATCCATTGACATTTCCGATCATGCTATATTCTGAAGCCATTTATCCCGTTAGTGTAGTGAATGTTTTATTGTGGAAGGAGGCGGTGTTCCTCTCCCGCTGGATGGCGATATACGGTTCCGACCTACACATCAGCTTGTGGGGAATTTGCCTCTTCCCAGTATCTCTCTAAACGGTAAACCGTCCCAGCCAAGACAGGTTCTAAGATCCCGACTAGTTTCCCAACATGTGTGGTAGTGTCGTGCATGTAAGAGCGCTTTGGGGGGAAAGGATAGGTCAAGGAAGAGGAAGGAAAAATTGCGCGCGGTTTGACCCGTTTGTTACAGTACAGCTCCGGTATTCGACTGGTATTGATCGTAGACACCGCGAAAAACTACCGATCAAACCAGCTGGCCGCTTCTCCTCCAAACAACGGCTGTGTTACCTGCACAGCCAGTGTCATAAATCCGCGAGACTCAATGTCGAGACTCGAACCCTAGAACAGGCCAGAATCGCACGGGGCTGCGGTCGGGCGTCGGGGGCATCCCTGCAGTCACCCCACCCCCCCCGCCGCGCAGCTCCCCCTCCCGGTGCCATCGCACGTGCGCACACAATGCGGTTAATTCAAGCCACGCGCCGGGGAGGGCGTCTCTGTTACCGCATTAGCTTTTGGGGGTGACGCCGAGCGGCGCCGGGCAGGCGTGCAGGGCAGGGCGGCTGCGGTGACACGGCCCGAAGGGGGGCGTTACCGCCTACCCCCCTCCACTTGTACTCCCTCGTCGTCGTCGCGCTGGTCAGCGCCTGACCCTCGCCGGCGTCTGACGCGTGCAGCCGGCGCCCGACGCTTTGCGCGATGAGTTTTTCCATGCGGTCGGCGGCGGCGACGTGACGGATTACGGTTGTTTGAGCTCAGCCTGTTGCCGATTCATCACCTAGCGGATTCAGTGATAGGATTTTCGGGATCCTTCCCGGTCGGATTTGTAACAGATACACTGCACCCACTTGATGCTGTGTAGCACTTCACTAAGCTTTCCCCGGGAAATCTCGTTATTTTTAACTTTTTGTTCTCCAGTTTCCAAAAACAGTAATTTAAACTCGATATAGCGATATTTTTTTTGAGAATGCATTTGATGAAAGAATTTGTATTGAATTTATTTGTTATGAAACCAATTACACAGACAATATTATAATAGTTTGTCAATCTATTATATCAACAACAATATTGAGAGAATGTAAGAGTTGTTGCTTTATGTGCAACAATTTTGTCTGATAAACTATAACATTAAAAACGTACTTTAGTCAGAAATTTAAATTATGATGCAGATTTGTTTAGAAATAGTTATTAGAAACAAATTTGATATAGACAACATTATGAAAAGTGATTGTTATTACACTACACCAATTTTGTCTGATATTCAAACATTTTAAAAAAAAGTAGTACGTACTCCAACAGAAATTCTTATATACGTAAATAAGCGTAGAAATAGTTATTCATGAAGGAGTTTGGATACAGACGTAATTTTGAAACGAGTGCTGCTTTTACGTGAGGCATCAGCTGAACGTTTGTACCATGCTCTGTTTTCCGTGCTTCTTATTTTACGAATCATGATTTTTTATTTCTCGTTTATGGCTCCAGCGAATCATAACACCATTTTCGAGAACTATTGAATAGCAGAAGGTTATATAATGATATATAAATGGACAGTGAGGACGAGTGGTGCAGGCGTGCAGTGAGGATGATAAAAAGGATGGTTAGTCAGATCATGCATGTGTTTTTCTGCACTATGACTACACCACCATTCGCTTGTCTTTGAAAAGGAAGGATATTATGAAGTATTTATTAGAGTGCCAGTGATACAATGAGGTTTCTTGTAGATCCCTTGTAGGTGTACTAAGCAAACATTGCATCTTACTAGATAATTTATATATTTAAGTTTTTAAACTTACGGATAAATGACGCTTATCTACAGACTGAAACAGTTTTCTGTCACAAGCGACATTATTAACCGATGTTTATAGGAAATTCTAGGTTTGGATCAGAAATGAAAACGATTTCTTCTATTATTTTAATTTTTTCTGCATCGGCAAGGTAAATACTTTTTAGTCAGAGAATGTACATAAAAGAAAATGGTAAAATTACGTATTAGAAACATTACCTGAATATTTCTTTTAGTACTTTCTTTTAGTAACTTCCCTTTTTAGTGACTTGAAATTATGTCATTTTCCATAATTCATTGTTTTTATACCTTTTTCTATGTTTGAAATATTCTGATGTAAGTGTTCAGTGATCCTTGCTTGCAGCCTCCAGGTTTTCAGGAAAAAAATCAAGTGAGAGTGTAAAAGTGGACATTAAGAGGCTACACTTTCTTATGCTTTCAGCAACTGATTTAACAGATCCCTTAAGTTATCTCATTTTTGGTTCGTTCTTCAGTAAATACTTGAAGAAATCCCTAGCGCTAAAGTCTATTAATACAAAATCCCACTAAATATTTCAACTTTCATTCAAAATTTTCGCCCTGGATTACGTTCTATTAATAATCCAACAAAAATTCTTTTTTTAATTTTTTTATCTTTAATTTTGAGGAGTTTCCATTTCAAAAAAGAAACAAAGTGCTTATTTTTTTCTCCACAGATTTCACAAAATTCATCAATATTAATTGTATTTGAATAGACTGGAGAAAAATATTTCAATCAACTCCTTCATAACATATTTTCGATGAAATGCGATATTGACGTTAAGGCAATTCTGTTGGAAATATCTTTTACCATTTCTACCGTTCAAGTCTAAAAAAGACAGCAACATTTTGTGTCGGTCATTTGTTTGCTGAAATAGGTCTCTTCAGTATTAATAGTATGCGCAAATATATCTGAATTGGTTCGCATGAGAGTGAGAATAGCTTTGAGAAATCTGATGACGAATCAATGAATACATATCTTTGCTCTGGATTACTCACACACAGTAAAATTATGTTTTAGAAATTAAAAATATATATATATATATTTTAATTTCATAATTTTTTAATATTATAATTTCTTATTTATTTATAATATTTATAATTTCATAATTATAATATAATATTTATAATTTCATAATTTTTTAATATTACAACACATAATTTATATATATATATATATATATATATATAAATTACGTGTTGTATATTCTTATTATAACACAAATCTTTATGAAGTTAGTTCACTAAGGCGTGCTTGAAATTTATGTTTGAATCTCATTAACAAGATCATGCTTGGTATGCAGTATTCTGCTGCCTCCAGTCTTGTAATGTGTAAAGATGAGTTATTTCACAGTAATTGTTCCCTGATGATGGAAATGAACCTTTTCCGAAGCGTTTCACCCATTTTAATGTCTCTTTTTTCAAAGAAATGTTAAGTTACTGTTGGCTACATATTGACTGAATTTCTTTTCGTTGTCCGTCGAAAGATTGATAAATTCCTCGAAATTCAAAATTGTTGTGTGTGTGCAAATTATTTTGACCAAACATTCAAAATAAATAAACTTTCTTATAAAGGGCATGGCAGTTTGTGTGCTTTTTTAAATGTGATAAATATTTTTGTAATGAGAGTAAATTTGGTACACAGTGATTAGGAACTGAAACTCCTGAAACTGAAACTAAGCGTGTAAACTAGAAATGAACTATTGTACAAACATTTTAAATAATGATTTCTTCGTATTTGCTTTTCTTTTGTTTTCAGTGTGATGATCTGGACAGAAGGGAGTGTCTTGTTAATGAATAATTGTATACGTAAGCTTCCGCGGCTCGAATCCATGAATTCTCGGCTATCCCTTCGTCACTGCCCTGAGGAAGCCTGCGACATGTCAGGCGAAACGTCGGCACCCCAGCCAACGACGCGGCGTCTCCCGGATAGCCGAGAATTCAATGAATAATTGTAGTTACAGAAGTATAATTGTGTGTTAGACCTAACTATTGTACCCAATTTGAAAGTGAAGTGAATATTGATTAACATCTACCTGAAAATTCATAAAAGGATTTAGGGTGCATGATAAATAAATTCAACGTTTTAATTTTGCATATTTTTATTTATTTAAACATAGGATTATATATAAATAGACTACAAAACTTAAATATAAATATTTTGAAAGTGAACTGACTCTCACATAAATGCAAAAGAAAATATCATTTTATTTTCTTGTGATCGAAATACGTAGTTTGTTGTGATAACAACAACACTAATATTTTTAAAATCGTGAAATCTATTTTATAGTTAAAATTCGTTTAAAATCTGTAAAATGAACTAAAGTATATAGGGACAATACAAAACTTTAGCATGTAGATCTATTAAAGAGTGTAGCTTATTATACAAATGAAAAACTAAAATTATAAAGATTCAGAAAGCTTCTGCGACATTTACTGGAAACAATCTATACGTGGGATGAAGTCACTGTTCTAAATATGGAGGGGATTGTGCATTTTATGGGATAAATTCTAAATCTGTACATAAAAGATTTGTGAAATAATTTGGATCCTAAAATCTTGACTGGTTCGTCCGTTGATGGGTTGGTCGCTTGCCGGCGGGCCGGTAGTTCAGCTCGTCGGGTTGCGTGGTCGGTGGCAGAGTTGGCGTCGAATTCAGTAGTCGACTTCGTCCCCAAACATGGCGTTGTCACGGTTCTGTCGCAGACTTCCTACTGATTCTGAAACAAACAAAACGATTCTCGTTAATTCAAATGTCTTTTATCATAAAGAAGACGATTACGTCGGAAGGAAACGCTTATAAAAGCCTCAGAACGTTTGGTTAGAAGGCAGACGTAGAAAGTTTCTGAAAAAGAATATTGTGGTGCAGCCCACTGATACTATGTAACAAAACATAGTTGTCGTAGGCGTATTGGAAATATTTTTATCGAATACGTTTCATATAAGTAGTCTTTGCTCCTACAATAAAAATACAGTAGTATTGCTAACAATAACTCGTGACCATCACATCATCATAACATTAGAACTCGCAATATATCAAACATTTGAACTTGCACCTTATCGAAAATATTGAATAAAAAGGTTCTGATTGATATCGGATATGAGATGCAGTATTGAACATCAACACTACTTCCAATAACAGGAAATGTGCTTCATAAAAAAAACCGTTTTACATGGTACAACAATTCCATTTTACACGAATAAATAGGTACACACGTCATCAACGCCCAGTGCTAGGCTTCAAGGCAGTCCAGGCCGAATACACGTGTGCAAAATTGCGGCTAATGGCCGTGTCCCCGCAAAGTGACCCATACGATAAAATAATACATTTCAGAAGAATCGTAGAAGTCCCCGACGATAGATGTGGTGGGTCATGTGGGGCTCCAGGTGCGTGCCTATCCTCAGATTGATCGCTGTGTACAAGAGCCGCGCCGCCGCCAACCGCCTAATGCTTCTTTGCGTGGGGAGGCGGGTTGGGACGGGATGGAAGGGGCGTGGTGGTTCGGGGCGGTGTGGAGGTGCGGACGGGGAAGGGTTCGGGACGGGGCGGTGCGGTGCGGTGAGGGTGCACGGGTTAGGTCGGGACGGGGACGGGGGCGGTGCGGGGACAGTGCAAGGGCGGGCAGAGCGGCGGCGGGGCGTTGGTGGGAGAGAGGAGAGAGGCGGGGAGAGGGGGGAAGAGCGGGAAGGGCAAAAACCGGGCAGGGGGGAGCGGGACGGAGCAGTACAAGAGCCTGCGCTGCCGCCGGCCGCCTAATGCATTTTTCGCGAGGGGGTGGGGGGGGGTGGGGTGGGTCGGGATGGAGAGGGACGGGCGGTGCGGGGTGGGACGGAAGTGTGTGGGGGCGGGGTGGGGCGGTGTGAAGGTGCGGGGCGGGAAAGGGTCCGGGACGGTGGCGGGGGCGGGAGCAGTGTTGGGCGAGCGGAGAGCGAGGAGGGTGCAGTGTGGTGGTGGGCGGAGCGGGAGAGGCGTGGGAGGGGCGAGAAGAGAGGAGAAGTGAAGAAGCGGGGTAAGGCAGTGCGGGGCCGGAGCAGAGGGGGTCGGGCGGTGCGGAGAGGGGGAGGCTGTTGCACGGAGCGCGGTGCAGTGAGCTGTGCGCCGAGCGCTCACAATGGCCTTCGTTATGGCGTTGGCGAGATTCGTATCTGGGCAGCGCTCGGCAGGTGTGCTCACGGAGGACACGTTCAAAGATCTAATAAAGCACTTCACCTCGTCATGTGTGCTTTCTCGGTAAGAGTTCATTAAAAGAATATTACTCCAAGAAACAATAAAAATATCTCAAATATATAATTGTAATATGTAAGCTGTAATTATGTATAATTGTAAATATGTAATTGTAATATGTAAGCTCAAAAAGTCGCTTCATAATTTGACTGACGTAATGTATTAATTTTTAAAAATCAGTCGAGTTAACCAATTTAAATAAAATCAGTCAAATTAGTTTTGTATAACTGAAAACAAACCATGTACCTACGATGGGGGCACATAGTCAGATTTAATTCGACTGACTTTCCAGAGTTCTCTTATTGCTTTAGGAAGATTACTTCTGTTTCACGTAACATGATTTTCATAAACATTCTTAATGAACACAAAAACCGCCTCCTACTTATCAGAATTCCTATGATTTGCCAACTCGTACTTCCTTCTGTCTGTTAAGGACTCGCGGAGCAAACCCCGAGCACGAATCCGACTAAACTCCTTCGTCAGATAGCCTTGCTGTAAAGTTTCTACAGGATATGAAATGCATATTTAAATCTAGTTTGCTCGTTTATCGATTGGAGAGGATGAAAAGTGATATTCTTGGCTTGAGGGGTGTTCCTTGAATATTGGTCGGAGAGAGGCAAATCATACTATGTTTAAATTGCTTTTTGTCATGTTATGGTAATTAAAATTATAACGAGAACATACATCACTTCATAGCAATTATCATAATGAAATTTGATTTACGCTTCCAATCACTTCATTAAGCGATTACGCATTTAACGGCCAATTTTTACGGCGGAACCATTAGTGGCGTTTTTAACTACGTGTTAATTGTATCGACATTCTTAGTTCCTAGAGAAACACTAGGTGTCATTCAAACAGTTCTCGAGGTTAGAGAATAACTGGATATCATGATTTCTACCATTGATAAAAGCACTGGTTTAAAAAATCTGAACATCATTTTTGAACCTTATTTTATAAAGCTTCCACATCAAATCTAAGCTGCCCAAATCACTGAAATATCACAGAACGACATCCCCAAATCACTTGTAATTTCCCCTAGATCACGTCATCGCTTGGTAATTCTAATGAGAGGGGCCCGGACAAGCGGATATGTCTTGCGGCCGCGGAGTGGCAGGGACCGCCCTACGGAGGATGGGGCGAAGGGCCGATCGGGGAGCCTAAGCGAATCAAGTCGTCACGCCCCGGGCCGACGCTCTAAGCCGGCCCTTTGTGCCCTGCGAGGGGGCGCGGCGCGCCCAGCCCCGCACAGGTGATGTAGAGCGCGTACATATGTCGGCGCCTCAATGCACTTTTGTATTCGGTTTAATTGTGCGGGGCGCGCGCGGGGTGGGGTGGGAGGGGAGGGGTGGCGGGGAGGAGAGGAGAGCAGGGATTGAGGGCGAGCGATCAGCGCTCCTCGCGGCCACTCCAGCGTCACGCTCCGCCGCATGGAACGCGGCAAATTACGAGGCTAAACCTCCACCCCGCCGCTTTGTGCCGGGCGTCGCAAAAGGCGGGAGGGGGTTGAGGGTGAGAAGGGGGAGGAGAGGAGATTGTGAGTGGATGCGGCAAGGAAGACGCGGAGATAGTGCGGGAGAGGTGAAGGACAAAGTGGAGTTGATGGAAGGTTGCGGAGACGAGCGGCGGCGAAGGTCCCGAGAAGAGTGAATGGCGAGATGAAGAAGCTTCTTATACCAATATCAAAACTCTTTAAGTTAGCGTTTATTGTAAGTATATGCCACATTGCGACTTTCTTCCCTGGGGAATCCGAGAACATTACTTCGCTACCACTTAGAATGTTTAGAAAACTCAACACGTTATGGCTATGCATTCCCGCCGATACTATCTCGGAAGAAAATACTCCCTGAAGAATACTCCCTATAAGAACTAAAGAAATGTGATTGTCATAAAAAAAATAACAACCAACCAACAAAAACAGTACAGAATATTTCGTGGCTATTGAAGATGAACAAAGAAGAATAGAAACACAGCTACTGAGAGGAGGAAGAATCTACTATTGTTGAACATTTGGATATTGACCGAAATATTCTTCTACAAAATAATTGTTATCCTTAATTAATTTATGAGGAATTCTTTGGGTTAATTACGAATGCTGTAGTGTAGAGAAAAAAGACCTAATGGGGTCGATGGATCAAATCATTCTTTTAAAAGGTGTCGACGACAGAAGAAGGTCGCGAATCCCTGTTATAAAGGAAAACAAACAGCGACTACACGTATTGCCTGTTGGCACGGGGATCCTCGGCAACTCTGGATATGTCAGTGACTAGCGAAACCAAGCGAGATGTGATTCGGAGAAGCGACATTCGATCCTGCTGAGGTCACAGCCCAAGATACCCGCCCACACAAAATTTCCGCACGACCGAACGCGTCGCACATCGAGGAGAGTCACGACTTCTCAGAAGCGGTCTTCTTTAGTTGCAGTGCACGGCCAAGGTCGACGACGACGACGGCGGCGGCGGCGGCGGCGGCGGCGGCGGCGGCGGCGGGGAGGGCAACGGGAGGGGAAGCGGTGCGGTGCATCCTTTTGTGCAGGGCGCAGCCTCTCGCCGCCTCTTCCCCCTCCACCTTCCCCGCCGCCGCGGCGCCCCCTGCGGCGCAGCTGCCGCTTCCCGCGGCGCGGACAAAAGACGCGCGGCACGCGCCCGCGGCCTAAAGAGCAGCGCCCCACTGGCTTTGTTTCGACCCTCGCGCACCCCCCACCCACACACACACACTCCGCGGTGGGGGCGCGGCGACGCCTTTATTTAATTACGATGTTTTCTATAAACAATCAGTGACGACCCATACCATTACAGGCACTCAAGGTACTAGTGAACCGAGAATTACTTCTGGGAGCTACGGAAGTGGTTCATGATTATACTCGCTTTTCTGTCGACGAGGATACCAATATTAGGGACTATACCTAAAATATTTAGATTCGAGACTGGCAAGAACATATTAACATCGCGAAAGTAATTAAATTGGTGAGGAATTGAACTGTATACAAATTTACATTTGATTGTACGGGGAAGTTGATGGCATAAACCACCAACTAATACGTTAACGATTCAGGATATGCTCTGTTACGAACATTTCACCTTAATATTTAATAGCTCCATTGTCAGAAAGGATGCATTTTCTGAAGCGAAGTGACATTAGAAAACTTGTTCCTATCCAGATACTTGCGGTCGCCCCAGGGAAGCGTCGTGTTTCTCCGAATCGTGCCGAACCTTCGGTAGGGCTTCCCCTTGTAACTGGACCCGAACTTTGTTTTAAGAACGTTTTGTGCTCAGTCGAGTCCTGTTTGCGTGCATAATACAACGAGGCAATATTTACTTATTGCTGTGTACAGTTCGGGGTATGTTTGAAAGATTCTTTATCTTTTTAATATGTTGCTTACACGTTTGAACACTTTTATTTATTCGCCCGAAATGGAAAATTTTAAAATCATGTGTCGCAATTGACTGCAATGCGAAAGCGGAGTCATCAGTAGCTTATCATTCGTAGCTGTTATATTCGCTAATTTAAGTTGGCAATAATAAACTACAGATATATAAAAATAACCCAGCGTGACCCCAGAAGATAATAACTTCAGTCGAAGGATATTGGTAATTAGTGTTTAATGCAAAGCAGTTCTAGGAAGCACATCGTTTTACGTAAGATGATGTTCGAAACAATAGTGAATCATTAACTTAAAATTATTATTTTCCAAATTGCTACCTTTTCCAGCCACGTCGAGCGATTTTACGAAAAATAAGGAAAAGGGCTATTTATTTTGGACAGAGATAACCAAATCTCAAGAAAGCTCTGTCTAGTGGATTTATGGAAATTCATATTTTTCTGGAAAATGTACCGTATTGAACTTCTGCCCATAGAACGCCTCAAAGTTTGTAACTGTTTTTTACGTTAAAGAAATAACCCGCCGCGCCGGTGAACTCAGCTAGCGCGCTAGAAAACCTAGACACCTGTGTTGAGGGCGTTGCTGTTACAAAATGAAATTTTGGTGAGATTTATGTCCCAGATTACACTTATATAATGTTGAATAAAACTGAACAGTTTATGCCGAAGAACAAAATTGAAAACAATGCGGAATATATTTTTCATTCTACAGATGTGACACTACGCGGAGTGCATAGTTGAAACATGACTTGACGCTTATAATTACAACATCTGAGAGGTCTGTTTCTACATTTCCGCCAGGTTAACTTGCTTACTTCCTTGTTTCGATTTCGTAATATTTCTCCGGTATTATGTCCGACGGAAACGTGGATTTATTGAAATCCATATTTTTCTGGAAAATGCACGTAAATGGTAACCATATTACGCCAGACTTTATAATGAATTTAACTGTGGGTAAGTATTGAAAGATATTTATTCCCACAGCGAATATGAGTTCTTTGAGGAAGTATGTAAATTTTCGCTTGCAGAAACATCATAGTATAAAGCGTGGCGTTCATGTGAGAAGTTATAAATATGATGTGTTTCACCTTCTATATTAGACAGTCACCAAAGGTTTTACAGAAGTGCTGTCAAAATGAAATGGTTGAAATGATCAGATCAAGTACACACGTCTTCTCGTCTATTTGCGGAGCATATATCACGAACTTCAAAATGTAAGCAATACTTAATCAGATCTGTTTTGTTTGTTCCGGTTCAAGAGGTTCAGGTTCAAACATCGAAGATGTGTTTGGCACTGACGCAATCTTATATTGTGAGCGACATCAAAACATATCTTTTATTTATAGAACTTTATTTAAATTAATAGCATATCCAAAATTGTATTATTAAGAGCAATACTTTTTATAAGAATAATAGGAAAAAAGTAGTTACAAGAAACATTAAACAATTCTATGTAGTTACACAATGTAACACTGAATTATCATTTTAAATAAGAGCGAGATCTGGAAATGATTACCACAAAAATCCTTTCCCACGGTTCGTATGATCATTACTTTTTTCGATGCATGTAATGAAGCCCAATTGAGATCCTCTGAGCAAAGGGAGCCAAGTGTCAAAAATGTTTTATTTTTTTCGGGAAATCAATGAAAACCGATTCGTATACGTATTTTTGACTTACAACCAGAGCCATCACTAGGTAGGTGTTACTACTACTTGGAAGGTGTTTGGAACATCGCTCTTTTAACTGAGTATTGGCACTGATTTACAATATAATATTTAGATGCCAAAACCTTCGTTTGGAAAACTTTGGCTCTTTCGTTCTTTGGCTTCGCAAGGTGTCAATTACATTTTAAATAATACCTTACGATTCTTTGCTTTTCAGCGGTTTAATTCCCATGTTATTTCTAATTTATATAGTTTATAATAAAACGGGATATTTTCATTACACAGAAAATGTTTTAATATTCATAAATAATTCAGGATTATATAATCTTTCCTTCAGGTCGAAACTGAATGCATAAATTTGCTTCTTAATTGAGATTAATTGAATAAATTAGTAAATTCACTGTTCCTACTCGCTAGCTCTCTCCGGCGCCCGTTTACCATCTCGGCGACCTCACTCGTCCGTGTCGCCCATTGCCGCCCCTCGGGGCCTAAGCGCCTGGACCTAAACCTAATGTCGCCCGTGTGTCCGGTGCTTGAGCGCTCAACAGGGCGGGCGGCCGCCGCGACCCCCTGCTTCATTAGACCCCCGCGAGGCCGGCGAGGATTGTGCCCCGCGGCAAGACGGCCGCCTTCGCCGCTCCATTACTCCCTCTCCCCCCTCCCTCCCCACCCCGCGGCCACTCCTCCTGTAATCGCATCCCGTGTCAACACACGGCTCGCGCCCCGCGGGGCGCAGCGACGGCCCGGGATTGGGAGGGGGGGGGGCGAGGGGCGACGCGACTGCGGGAGCAGCCGCCTGTGCGTGTTGTCGCAGCGGGCTACCACTTTGCTTGCACCCCCCCCCCACTCCACCCCCAGCCACCGCTCGACACTCCACGTCCCTCACGAGCACCGGAGGCCGACCGGCAGCGGAGCACGGAGGCCGATAGCGTTTGGCGGCGGCAGTGATACCTTTTAGGTGGAGGGCAGAAGGAGTATCGGGTGCAGCGGGTCGGCGTGGGCCATATGTCGAGTTTCGTCAACTTGGGTTGAAAATGTTACAGCGAACCACGCGTGTAATAGGGCTACAGCGGTAGACAAGAATAATAGGAATGGTCTCTGACAATATTCTTCAAATTATGGTACACTGTGATAACGTTTCTACTCTATTATCATTATCATCAACTAATTGTTAATTATTACATTGAACAAAATTCCAAACATAATAATTTAGCCAAATGTTAAATCTATTCAAAATACAATTTCATAAAGGTAAATAGTGGTACATCTATTACGTCCTTGAAGTTATTTTATTTTCACTTGCTTTTTCAAAAGTTCCCTTTTCTTTGCTTTCGTGTTTCCCTGAACAAGATTCGAAGGAAGAATAATAAATATACTGATTTACCTGATATTTCCAGCATCTGAAAAATGATAGGAATTTAAGTTTCATAATTTGGAAAAGGTTCATTAATCAAAAAATTTCAAATTATGATCCAGAAATTAGGTTACATGTTAAAAAGAAACATTATGTCACTGCCTTATCACAACACGTTTTATTTGCTTCCTTTTTTTCTGATTCTATGAAATACAGGTAAAAAACCAAATGTACCCTGAATGTTTCGGCGTACTTTATCGCAATACCCTAATATTGCAAGAACGATCATTATAAATGAACTTTGAACAATATGTATATTACCTTTCAACCGTAAAGGACTTTTGGTGAATGAACTGATGTGGAGATTGCCTTTCAGAATATTGTTCTGAAGCGTATAAAAATATCTCTCTAATTGTACGCAATAAGTGAATAATAACATATTAATTAATTTTATCGAAACTATTCTATTCGCACTTCCTTCATGTCATTCACATTATCGCTGTTTTTCTTGCGGATGTCGTTTGTTCTATAATTAAAAGCGTGTCAACTTTGTTCGTATCTGAGTTTAATTGAGAACACTGTTATGCTTAAAGTTTAAATTAAAAGCCTTTTTCGACAAAGCATATCTTATCCCTACGGAAGTTTCTGACATCTAGTGATAAAAACACGTTAACTCTAAAAAAATATTAATAATTCTTACTGAAATATGTTTACAGTATGTTAGAAACAGTAAGAACACATCGCTTCCCACAAAAATGGATAGTAATAATATTTTTGTGATAGATACTGACACGAGTGCTAATTTCCTATGAAATGTGAAAACGCGTCTTAAGTAGAAGAGATGTTATGGTTGACTGTAAGAAAATATGTACAAAAATAAAATAGCATCATTTCAATTTAAGACTCATTTAGTTTAATCGTAATATCATAGTACTAGAATTTTCCTTCGCTAGCTTGTAATGTGAATGAAAGAGAAGTCGACAGTTCCCGAATGCAATGTGTCATGCTTACTATTACTAACCATAGTACTATATTGAGTCAAGTTTTTTATTTTTCAATACAAAACACAAAAATATTTCTTTTTCAATCGTTGGCATGCTTTAATTTTTCATTTGTTTTTTCAAGTGCAAATTTTACGTTTTATTTGCTTGTTATTGAGTGATTTTGATGGAAACTAACGAAATAGAGGGTATCTAGAAGAATGTTTCATTCTCACTTTTACAAGTCAATTTAATAATTGCACGAAAACAAAAATGAAAAATTGCAAGATAATAATACAAGAGTCAAATGTCACCTACGAACGGTAAGAAGTTTGAGAGGCACTTCTACTTTCGACGACTTCATTATCAGCGTAGTCAGTTGATAGTCTGATATTGCATTCTTTTTAGGCGCGAGGAGACAACCAAATTATAACTGGTATGTCAGGACTTGGGTCGCAGATGACAATGAATAAAAAAACCGTTCCACATAAGCGAATATATTAATATCCCAGTGCAAAGGCGATAAAACCTCTGGAAGAATGCGCTAGTTGGTATACCGTTCACCAGCGTGACCGCCTCCACCTAACACAATACTCGGAACTGCCAGCACAGCGAGACTTGGAAACGGACAGTTGAATTATTGATAAACATTATATGTCCACAATTGGTACAACCTCAAAATTACTCATTTAGTGGAAGTAGAGACTAATTCCTCATAAACAGCCGGAAAATTCTGGTTAAAATGCAACGAATGATCTTCGGCCAGTTTCATATTCAAACGGTAACGTGATGTAGTACACAAACGACGGTAGAACGTGGACTGAGAGAGAAGGAACCTGCTTAACTTACTCGCCAGCTATTCGGATTTAACATATGAAAAGGAATCCACTTCGAAAATACCTCGGGGAATGTTTGGAAAACATCTAAATGGCGTTTTAGTTGGCCAAACCGTGACGACTTTGAGTCTTATTCTCATTCACGTCGGGTACAATCAATTCGCAATAACGCATGAAGTGAGTTACTTACTAAACAAATCGCAGAAAACATGTCTTAAAAGAGATGAAAATACGATTTACAACGTACGAAAAGATGCAGAATGAGGTGTTTAGGAGGAAAACCGTTACGACTTTGCGTCTTACTCCAGGCATGTCGGGCAAAATCAATAATTCGCTTGAACACATGAGGTGGGGTACTTATTAGAAATCTCTTTCACAAGATGTCATGAAAGAGGTAAAAACAAGAGTTACAACGCTCGAAAAAGAAGCAGAGCGGTGTGTTTATGGCAAAACCGCGACGAAGACTGCGATGTTTGGTTTCTATTCTAGGCATGTCGAGTAAAATCAACAATTCGCTTTAATGCACGAAGTGGAGTACTTACTAAAAGTTTCTTAGACAACATGCCGTAATATAGATGAAAAAATTTTAACGATGTGAAAAATATCGAGACCGGAGTGTTTAAGAAGAAAACATTGAGCAACGACTTTGCGTCTTATACTCTCATACATGCGCAAAATCAACAATTCACATTAATGAATGGACTAGATCACATAATACTAAAAAAAAACATCTTAAGACTACATGCCCTAAAAGAGATGAAAATATCGATTTCGAACGTACGAAAAAGATTCAGAAAAGAGTGTTTACACTTCGATTTTCTAAAGTGGCCTATGACAGGTCATTGTTACACCTCCTGCTTCATAAAATGAATATTTTTAACAGTGGCAAGCGCATTTTTGAGCCCCGGAGAGAAAGACGTTTGCGAATTAATTAAAAAATATTCATTTTATAAGGTAGGAGGTGTAACAATGTTCTAAGTCATCAGCCAGTTAAAAGAAATCGAAGTATAGGGGCAAACCCACAACGTGGACGGCGCTTCATACTCACAGTGAAGACGGGCCTACACCTGTGCCGCGACCACCTGTGGCCCTCGGGGCACGACTTGGGCTCTCCCTTGGCGATCTCGGGCATGTCGACCACGTTGCTGCGCATGGGGTCGTCGTGGTCGCGCGTCTGGGCGTCGGCGGCGGTGCCGGGCGGGCGAAGCGCGGGCGGGATGGCGTGCGGGCCCTTGCGCCGCAGCCCGCCCTCGGCCTCCAGCGCCAGCAGCGCCGCGACCACCGCCAGCAGCGCTAGCGACAGCGACAGGGCGCGGCGGGCCATCGCGAGGGACTGCTGGCGGCGGCGGTGGCCGGCCGGCCGAAGGCGACGGGGCGGACGCGACGTCAAGCCTCAGGACTTCCGCTTCGAAGGCGATAATTCGCGTGCGCGAGCGAGTCTCGGGGCTACCTCGGGAGTGCCCTTCCGCCCTCCGAGTGCGTCAGCGCGTCGGGCGCGATACCCCGCGCAGATCGACTTCCGCAGCGGCGCGGTAACGCGGACGAATCGCGTACTGCTCGCGGGATGTTTCCGGTTTCGGAGCTGGAATTCACGGGGAACTCCAGGCCACCGATACCATCGACGATTGTCGCAGTTGCCGGTGGGTGATACATTCTTTGGGGAATATCTGTGTGATATCTCACAAAACATTCCGCTGGATGATGTCTTTTAAGTGTGTCACTATTAAAATTATTGGAAATATAAAAAAAGAGGAAAAAAACAGATACAGACAACTGGCTACGGTGGCTAAGGGCATCAACTATCACTGCAGTGCCTCTGACCGACAGGGCCTAGGGTTTGAGTGGCCGGATGTTGAACGGAAGAGGAAAGAAAGACAAGCTAGTGCTTGTCAGTTAGGTCGAATTCAAGTGCTGTCTACAGAAGAATTCTAGCTGCTCTGATCGGTAGGTTTCTGTGGTTTCTCCGATCGATGCTGGAACAGTACACTGACAAACGCGCCGGACCGCGCGCGATCTTTCTTTCCTCGTCCTTGTCTTATTCTCATTCCTTACTTCCACACACAACTACATACACGTCACTAATATACTTGTCGGGGAGACCTGTCGAGAGCATACAGTTTGGCCCGACTGGGGCGGTGCCCCTTTTGTAGGAGATACCTGGTTGGGAAAAATCCCCACAAGCCGACGTAGGTCAGCGCCGGATCTCGCCAGCCACCGGGGGAAGACTGTCGCCACTTCCCACGATACAAAGATGCACTTAATTTACCATTGTAAAAAATATTCATTTTATGAGGCAGGAGGTGTAACAATGACCTAATGTCATCAGCCACTTTAAAAAAACTGAACTTTAAACACTCCGTTCTGGATCTTTTTCGTTCGTCTGAAATCGATATTTGCATCTCTTTTAGGGCATGTTTTCTGCGAGATGTTTAGTAAGAACCCCACTTAATTAATGACCTTAGCAGTCAACGCGCCCGGAATCATCAATCATTCCTGATCGACTTCCACAGAGGCGGCGTGGTAATGCAGACGAATCATGGAGTTTCCAGGATATATCTGGTTTGGTAGTTGTAATTCACGGGGAAGTCCAGGCTGGCGGTTCTATCGACAATAATCGCTGGGTGTTGTCGCCGATGGTACATTCTTTGGGAAGGTTTAGTATGATATATCAAAAAAATCCCACTGGATATCTTCTAAATGTGTCACTATTAGAATTATTGCAAGGAAGAAAAAAAATAAAGAAAATACAAATTTAATAAACCCACTTTCTGTTCTTTATTTTCAATTCACCGACATTGCAATATTTCTCAATTGTACATTAAATTAGGCAGAGAAGAACGTATTATCTCGAAGTAAAGAAAATGAAAATATGTTCTTCCCATTACCGATTTGTGTCTAGTATTAACTTCACGAAAGCAGCCCCTCAATGTTTTGCCATTACTTACTATGTCGGACGGAAGTGTCTGGCATCAAGTCTAATTTTTAAAGAAAAGAAAATATTTAACCCACAAGCCAACACAAACAGTTTTAGTTTATCAAAGCTATCAACACAGGAAGACTACTGATAGTAAGCTCCCATTGAAAAGGAACTCTCGTGCGGGGCGGGGCGTAGGGTGACAACAGGACGTCAGAAACCGGAGCAGCACGCCGGGCGAGCGAGGGCACGTGAGGCGACTGGAAGTTGGGGCGACCCGCTGCGGTCTCAGCCTGTTGAGCCCCTGGCATCGGAAAAGAAGCTCGTGGGCGCTGTTCAAGGAGAGCCCGTGGGATTCTTACTCACTCTTGTCCTCATTGTGGGGCACACACGCATAGGAAGTGCTGTTCTTTCGTGTGAACACACGCCTCCGAAACTGAACACTTCGGCTTAGTCGTAATGTGGGAATTCGAGGAAATATCATTTCCAGTTTCATATACATTTAAATATTTATATTAAAACAGTTATTGTCTAATATTTTAAAAATACATAATTCAAATGCATTTCTGTATTAATAAATTTGCAAACTCCGAAGATCTGTGACGAGTGTGATCCGAAGCGGTGAATTTAAATTGGAGTTTACATTCCAAATTTTGAAATGGGTGCTTTGATAAACATTTTCAGGTTGTGTGACGTACTATGTTTTATTTTATCCTGTTAAGGAGATACTATCTATTGCGAGTTGCAAACAATAGATATCTTGAATATTCATCTCTTATGAAGAGTAGATTTTTTTCCAAATTTGCGTTATGCTTATATATTGAAAATATTTAACTTTAAAATTAACAATCTGACTATTCTCCTGGTACTAGTACATGTTTTTGCTGAGAGGTAATGACAGAATTTTGCTACGAAAAGAGGGGCGTGAAAATTTAAAATAGTACTGTAATATCAGAATAACAAACAAAACGTGCCATAATGTCTACGAAAATAGCGAAGTATGGGTGCATCCGAATTTATAAAATGCTTAATATGAGTCATTCGAGTCCATCATAAAATTCAAGAAGTTTTTAAAGACTTCGGAATACAAAATTAAAAGAAAATTGTAAAATACGATAAAGTAAGATTCAAACAAAAATGAAAAATGTTTACGAAGCAAACACAAAATGAATCGCATATACTGTGTGATGTGTCCCGTTAGATTGAAATACCCACCTTGCTTCCCGCCCCCCGTCGAAGTCCGGCATCTTCGGAGCTCCCTCACCCCCCCCCCGTAATTATGAGGTGGAAATTGGGACCTGTTCTGACAGACGAACCATGCATTCTGGCCTTCGGGCTCCCTACACAGTGTTGTAACGAAAAAAACAAACCACTCCCTTGAGTTCTCTGACGCTAGACGGTGCGAGGCGCTGGCTCTTGGACCGAAGGGTTCGAGCGGCGGCAAGTGCCGCCGGCATCTCTCCCACAAGGCGACTTCGACTTCACGTTTTGCGTGTTTAAGTTTGGGAAATACAAATCACCACTTCCCTTGTAATGAAATTATTGCTAAGCACTAGGCCTAGGCTGGATTGCTACGCTATACTCCCCACCCCACTTGCAAAGCGTCAAAGATGCTGGAAAAGCCGGTTCACCAACCCTCTTCTACCGCGCCGGCCTCGAGACCTTTTGGTACGTAAATCTCTAGTGACCCGGATCCCTTAATTTTGACTCTTAGACGGCAGGTATGAAACGGCTCACCTAACACGTATAACTGATTTTTAATTTAGGCCAAGTATACATCGAGGAAATAACTCTTTGTTGCAATGTATTATTCCAATCTTCTGCATTCGAATAACATTCCTAAAGTATTGTTTAATTGCAATGGTTTCAAATAAAGAATTAAAGTTACTAAATATAATATTTTTATAAAAAAAATTGTTTGGAGGGCCATGAGAGTCATTGGCGCTAGTTCAGATGTTCCGCCGCACGGGGCAGCAGCAGCGCTACCGGCTGCAGCGCAAAGAAAATAAACATGCGCAATGGAGGATGACTCCAAAAGAAAAATTTTAAGACTGTTTACTGCGGTCGTTCGTTGTGTTCTAACTTGCCCCAACCTTACGTCAGATAAATGTAATTAGAACATATAATTGGATTTAAAAGATAATTAAACACACACATTCTTGTGGGGAATACCAAAATTATAATTTTACGAAATACCGAAGTATAATAGTGAAATACAGAAATATTACGAAGTGTATTAATCAAGAGATCTATTAAGCGATAATAAAAAAAAGCTTTAGGGGAATGCCAAATGATACTAGAGTCCCTTAATGGACTTTCGATTCTCTATTTTGCAAATATGAGTATTCATTTACACAGAGAAATGTTTGTGTGTTTAATTTTGTGAATGAAAGCGTTTGGCCCGCCGCACCGCCACCGGACGCAGTTGGCCTGCTACCAACGCACCGCTTACGGTCCCGGAACCACCGGGCGGCAGCGTCCGTGCTTCCACTTGAGGTTGGGCGGGCAGTTCCTCCGTGGGTTGTCCCGCAGGAGGATGATGCCCGCCTGGTCGGGTGCGGCGGTGGTGGTAGTGGTGGTGGTGGGCGCGGCCGGGTCGTGGATTTGGCCCTGGCGGCGCCGGCCGGCGCTCGCGCTCGCCGCCAGGAGCAGCACCGTCGCCGCCAGCACCAGCAGCAGCGGCGGCGGCGACGACGTGGATACGCGGCGAGACATAGCGACGGACTGACCGCGCCGCGCCCGAGCAGATAACCCGTTGACGACCTCATCTTCCTCCTCCTCCTGCTACCCCTCCTCCCGCCTCGCCCCCCTCGGGAGCCCCGGCTCAGCTTCCTC